GGAACTTGATCCAGAACTGTATTGCTGGGTTAAGGTGACTAAATTGAGAACATTACAATCGGTCAAATTGCTCCTGTGGCTCATCAAATGCGGATGCACGAGTGACGCACCACATAGTACGCTTGCTTGTAGCTGCAATAGGGGTGGCTTAGAATGTATAGTATTTTGCACCTGTTCTGTCACAGGTTGCAACCAGACCCACGACTAAAGGATTAAACTGAATATTACATAGTTTTGTGGTGATATTTTTCGTATTTTGCGGGTAGAATATGTTTTTTAAATGATCAAAACACAGATTGTGCCTTTCCAGGGCCGTCCCATGTGGGCCTGGACCCCTGTTAGACATGTATGTGGTGTTACCATATCAATCATATGCTCCTATGTCCATAAATATATAGTTTGGTTCGGTGAAATAATTATTGTCCAAACAGCCGCTATCGAGTTAAAGGGCCATATTGTCTGGCATTTTGCATTTTACTATCATCTAATCACCCCACAACATAATGGATGATTTCGGTGTATTCCTTGGCCCCAAAAACATACGGTTAGACACCAAAATTATCATCATCTTGAATTTCTCAAAAAGCTCAAGGGTGACCAAGGTTCAACCAACAAATTATTAAAGAGGACACCATAGGCTACTAAAATCAATCATAAAATAATCTTTGTGTACAAACTTCCAGGTTCAGCCATAGTTCTGCTGGACTAAGTGTTTTGACGTCAAAAAAACGTCAGTGTGACGTCATTACGTCACAATGCCGTCATGACGTCACACCATGACCTGCTTGAGTCGTGATAACCTTTTTTTCCGATTCGTTGATATCACTTTTGTATCTAATAATACATTTATTGCTCTAAAACGAGCCGTTTCCAAGATATGGAGGACAGAAAGTCCAATTGGCGGCCATCTTGGATTTATGCTAATTATGAAAAACGCTACAGGGTTTCAGCGGACAATTTTGAGTTGGGAGTCCTTAAGACATCCCTTTAGATTCCAGTGAAAGAAATTCTTTTGCAATTTGTTCTCGGTACTTGACAAACAGAAATTATATCTCTCAGTCTACCTATAGAGGTCACAATTTTGATCCGATTTTGATGAAACTTGAAATACATATTTATAACCCAAAGATCTTGGTTTCTTTCGATATTCGCACATATTGGATCATAACTTCCTGAATTATGGCCCTTGATTGTACGAAAAAATCACTTCTTTTTTTGAGCTTGTTCTCTGTCCATCTTTTGCAAAATGTGGGCGTATCTTGCATGGCAACCGCTTGTTATCCGATTTTGTTGAAACTTGAAATGTAAGTTTATAACGCAAAAATCTTGGTTCTTTTTGATATTCGCGCATATCGGACCGTAACTTACTGAATTATGGCCCCTGATTGTACGAAAAATCGCGTTTTTAGCTTGTGGACCCTATAGAGTTCATAATTTTTATCCGATTTAAAAAAACGTATTATTATATCACTGACAAAGGACAACTGAGTTCGAATTTCGTGAAAATCGGCCCAAAACTGACTGACAAAATGGCCGCCCATCGTTCTCAAATTGCGTAAAAATATGGTATATCAAGGTTGTGGACCCTATAGAGGTCACAATTTTTATTCGATTTTGTTGAAACTTGAAATGTAAGTTTATAACTCAAAGATCTTGGTTTCTTTCGATATTTGCGCATATCGAATTGTAATTTCCTGAATTATGGCCCTTGATTGTAGGAAAAATCACGTTTTTAGCTTGTGGACCCTATAGAGGTCATAATTTTTATCCGATTTAAAAAAACGTATTATTATATCACTGACAAAGGACGACTGAGTTTGAATTTCGTGAAAATCGGCCCAAAACTAACTGACAAAATGGCCGCCCATCGTTCTCAAATTGCGTAAAAATATGGTATATCAAGGTTGTGGACCCTATAGAGGTCACAATTTTTATTCGATTTTGTTGAAACTTGAAATGTAAGTTTATAACTCAAAGATCTTGGTTTCTTTCGATATTTGCGCATATCGAATTGTAATTTCCTGAATTATGGCCCTTGATTGTAGGAAAAATCACTTTCGTTTTAGCTTGTTTTCTATCCATCTCTTGAAAATGTGGGCGTATCCTACCTGGCAGCTGCAGGTATTTAAATGTATTACTAGCAATTGTGTTGTAATAGTTTAATATCAATCTCAATATCTGCAAAGATTCAGACTCAAAATTTATCGAAATTTAAGCGAATTTACTGTTTATATATACGGGAGACGCCTATCTGTTTTATTACTCATATTAGGGGTTTCAGGTCACGTGACTTTAGCGTGGAATCTGACAGCCAGCAGCTGAAATATAGCCTGCTTCAATCTACGATTCTGAATTACTATTTTATTTAAATGTATTACTAGCAATTGTGATGTAATAGTTTAATATCAATCTCAATATCTGCAAAGATTCAGACTCAAAAATTATCGAAATTTAAGCGAATTTACCGTTTATATACGGGAGACGCTCACAGGGAAATATCACTCTTGACGTCAGGCTACCAGAGATTTTCCATCAACACAAATTGCTACGGCTGACTTTATTGGCAAATCCGCAACATAGTCAATTTGTATTTCTACTTTTTGTCAAAATAAAAAAAAATAGATAAACTAGACACCTTCTACTGATATAGTATTACTGTAAAATTCAATATTGGTAGATGATAGTGTAGAAACCTATTTGACCGTAAGAAAATCTTAGGGGAAATCCTATCATGGGGAGTCAATGCACACCGTGTCGATACCGGCGGGAGCTGACTCCTACAACTGCTTGTGCGGTAAACGGTAATCACACACCAGGAACCATCTCACACTGTCACACTGGGTTTGATCCATAAATGCTGATGTATTTTACATTTGCTTCGGCAAAATTAATAGCCGAGGCCATTGAATCATTGAATAGGTAGTATACGGTTATTTTTTTTATATAAACATGTACATACCAAAAATTATTATCAACAACAAATCATACTGAACATCTGTTTAATTATTGGCAGATAGTTCTGTGTCTTCGAATATTATTTCCGTTGTTCAAAAACTGTTCAGAATTTTGCGCCTCGATAACACAATTAACTCTCAGTTATTAACTATAGGCCTATATTAATCACAAGTACAACTCCAGTTTGAAATCCACAGAGAATGGATTTTTCTGATGGCATTTCGTAGATCGCAATCTTGCCTCAGCCAATCAAAGCTTTAAACTCTATAGCCCGATTAGGTTTGTTACATAATTCTCATCCGTCGGCTTTTCGGGTAGAAATTGTGGAGTAAGCTTTATTTTGAAGGTTTTGATGTTTAATGATAAACCAGCGGCTGCAAGGCAGGATACGCCCACATTTTCGAGAGATGGATAGAGAACAAGCTAAAAAGAAAGTGATTTTTCCTACAATCAAGGACCATAATTCAGGAAATTCCAATTCGATATGCGCAAATATCGAAAGGAACCGAGATCTTTGGGTTATAAACTTACATTTCAAGTTTCAACAAAATCGGATAAAAATTATGACCTCTATAGGGTCCACAAGCTAAAAACGCGTTTTTCGTACAATCAGGGGCCATAATTCAGGAAGTTACAGTCCGATATGCGCAAATATCGAAAGGAATCAAGATTTGTAGGTTATAAACTTATATTTCAAATTTCAACAGAATCGGGTCATTTTAGAACGAACGGCGGCCATTTTGTCTATCAATTTTGGGCTGATTTTCACGAAATTCGAACTCGGCCGTTTTTAGGGTGTAACGGTGATATAATAATATTTTTTTTTAAATCGGATAAAAATTATGACCTCTATAGGGTCCACAAGCTAAAAACGCGATTTTTTCGTACAATCAGGGGCCATAATTCAGGAAGTTACGGTCCGATATGCACAAATATCGAAAAGAACTGAGATCTTTGGGTTATAAACTTACATTTCAAGTTTCAACAAAATCGGATAAAAATTGTGACCTCTATAGGGTCCACAACCTTGATATACCATATTTTTACGCTATTTGAGAACGAATGGCAGCCATTTTGTCTGTCAATTTTGGGCCGATTTTCACGAAATTCGAACTCAGCCGTCCTTAGGGTGTAACGGTGATATAATAATATCGAAAGGAACCGAGATCTTTGGGTTATAAACTTACATTTCAAGTTTCAACAAAATCGGATAAAAATTATGACCTCTATAGTGTCCAAAAGCTAAAAACGCGATTTTTTGTACAATGAGGTTTCATAATTCAGGAAGTTATGGTCCGATATGCGCGAATATCGAAAGGAACCGAGATCTTTGGGTTATAAACTTACATTTCAAGTTTCAACAAAATTGGATAAAAATTGTGACCTCTATAGGGTCCACAAGCTAAAAACATGATTTTTCGTACAATCAGGGGCCATAATCCATGAAGTTTCGATCCGATACATGCCAATATCGAAAGCAGCCGAGATCTTTTGGGGATAAAACAATATTTTAAGTTTCGTCAAAATCGGATAAGAATTGTGACCTGTAGAGAGTCCACAAACAATTGTGGACGGACCGGGGCGTCGGCATAATACGTCCACATGAAAATGTGGGCGTTTAAAAACTAATGTTGACTTTTTTTTCTGAGTAGGTCTTCATAGTAGGCTATTATTTGAGGGTAGCCATTTTGTGATAATGTCCATCTCTGGTAAAATGTGGATGTATCTTGCTTGGCAACAGCTTGTTAACAGACATTTCAGATTTGGGGGTGGGGGGGTGGGAAGCATTAGGGTAAAGAGAGGATGAATGTGATTATCAGCATTTCGCTACTTTCAATTTCAGAGTTGCCCCTCACTTTTTGATAAAAACCTTCCGAACTCTATAATTTTAATGATCTTTTTCAAATTTTGGGAAGCATTGATTGGGTTCAAGAAAGGATGAGTTCTATCGATTCTCAGCATTTCGTGATTTTTCCCTGCTAGAGTTCTCTTTCAAAGAAACATCATATTCAGAAAAATTAATGCATAAATAATTATTATTACAGGGCCAAGGATACCGGAACAGCGGTCAACTTGATGGCTCAAGGAAAAAGGAACATGATTTGTGGTGAAATACCGGTCGCTGTCAATCAGTTCCAAGATGCATGTCAGCTCTTGTAAGTTACGTAATTCTAATGAATATATTTATGTTCTGTTTAGTTTATTTCGGTTGAATGGTTTCTCCATGTTTTATTTTTGTATGTAGGTAAACACGGTGATGACAATACGGGCGTCATGTAGTGGTTCCGGTTTATAGCGTACTTGACTTGTCAAAGTTATGCTATGGCGTCTGTTGAAAGGCCTAATCCTAATGTAAATAAATCGCCGCGTTCGTTTAGAAAAAAGAGTGGCGGTGGAAGTTTTTGCTGCGTGCCTTTTTGCAGTAATCAAAGTGGCAGTGATAAAATCAAAAGAAGGTACTACAGGTTTCCCCAGCAGAAAAGTAAGCAGTTCAAGCTGTGGCTTGCTGCCATAAGACGTGACGATTTTGAGTATAAAGATTGGCATCGGATTTGTTCCGACCATTTCAAGAATGGTAATATTTTTTGCATAATTTAATAATTATTATAGCCGAAGTATTTTTCATTCGGAAAATAATCTAGAGATATTAAACCTTCTATGTAAGCAACTTAGGCCTAACCTATAATATCTTATTCCAAATAGTCATTAGTCCCCTGCATCGTTTCAATCTTAAATTAGCACTGACTACCGACCTAAGAGTTAGGCCAAGCCCTAGATCAATGCAAATCAAAACAGCCCTTTTCAATGATTGTCAACTCATTTTGTATTCTAAACAATTTTATTTTATGAATTCAAACAATTTTATTTAACAGATCCAACAATTTTATTTTGTGCATTTTAAACATAAATCCAAACCTTTGTATAATCCATAAATAAACAGGGTTCAACAATTTTTAAATTACGAACAAATGTAGTACCGAGTAGGCCCAATTTAATAAATGGGTCTTATTCCATTATCAATAATCAATAATTCAATTCAAAAGTTAATAATAATAAATTACAAAGAAATGTAGAAATAAATAGTTCTGATTCCATTAACAAATTATAATCAATAAATAAATAAATAGGTTTATTGTAAAGTCAATACAACAATATGTACAATGATATATAGTTCTGATTTCATTCAACAATAATAATAAATAACTATGGATCTTTACTATTTTTAATATTCATTTTTGGTTGGGCATTTAGAATATAAAATCTATTATTATTTCTTTATTTCCTGGGTATCTGTACATGATAAATATAATATCAGTCAAAGGATATTGATAATGGTATTATATTATAATATTTTCTGCCTCCCCCCACCCTCGTTAGTAACATAGGACAATAATTCTACTTATTTTTCTTGCAGGTATAAAAGGCCATTCTCCTACAGATGCTGGATATGTCCCTACTTTATTTCCATTTCAAAAAAAGGTAAATAAACGACAAAGCAGGACTTCAGGTCAAACTGTTGTTATATCCCCACTTAAGCATACAAGTGCAACGACAACGTGCAAAAAGAAATTAGAGAAACCTCTTAATTTGGATCATGCTGCAGTTCAAAGCTCAACTATTATGATAAACAATCATGACTATCTTGAAACTGAAACAGAAAACTGTAAGGAAATACAAAAATATCTACCAGAAATAAATGAAAAAATGAAACAACTTGAAGATGCTGTTCAGGACAATGAGATTTTTAGGAGTAAAATTTTAGATCTTGAAAAAATTATGGAACATCCAAAACAAATTCAATTCTGGACTGGTTTTCCTAATTATGTTACTCTCTTTGCTTTATTTACATTTTTAGAACCACGTGCAAGGAACATGAAGTATTGGAGAGGTAGTGCCTTGTCTAATAATAATGAGCATTTTTCAAAATCTCATCACAATAAACCTGGTCCACAAAGAAAACTGAAACTGATAGATGAATTTTTTCTTACTTTAATTCGATTAAAAGTTGGACTTTTAACTGAAGATTTATCAGATAGGTTTGGTATTTCTTTCGGAACAGTTTCGTCAATATTTACATCTTGGATTCATTTATTATATTCAGATTTAAAACTTATTTGTGAATTACCATCAAATACGGTCACACGTGAAAACCAGTCACATGCTATTGGTTCTTTTAATGATGTACAAGTTATCCTTGACTGCACAGAACTTTTTATTCAAAATCCAACCAAGTTAGATGTAAAAAAACAATTTTTTTTAAATTATAACCATCATATGACATATAAATTTTTGATTGGCATTTCACCACAATTAAGGATAACTTTTGTAAGTAAAATGTATGGTGGTAGGGCATCTGATAAATTTATTACATCAGATTCAGAAAATTTATTATATAACTTAGAAGTTGGAAAGGGTTCGGTTATGGCCGATAGAGGTTTCCTTGTTAAAGGAATATTAAGTGATATGGGAGTTCAACTTCATATGCCTGCTTTTAAAGGTAACAGACCTCAATTTAGTTCTGCTGATGCCGCTGCGTCAGAAAAAATTTCAAGCGTTCGTAAAAATATAGAACGAGCCATTCAACGCATTAAAATATATCATATCCTAGATGGCGAATTAAAACTCAATGAAGGATATCGCAGAGGAAATATTTACTGTATGTGCATATTTAGTCAATTTTCAGTCACCTATTGTGAGGTTATAAATACTGTTTTGATGACAAGTTAATGTTACTAGATATCTTATAACATATAATATTCTACCATTTTTATCAACTTTTTTTTAACTTTCAGGATGTTGAAAACATTTGTAAGCCAAATTAAAGGTATTCTTAATATAATATATAATTTGAAGGAGCTTCCCCTGATATGTTTCCGAGAATAAAACAGATTAATTCTGTGTAAAAGTCGTCTTTATTTTCTACCTAGTTCGGTGATGTGTTTTCATATTAATCAAATCAAATAATCAAAACACGTCTATGGAATACAATTTTTTAATTTTTAATGTGTTACTAAACGCCTTGTAAAGTTGTTTATTAGATAACATAATGAAATTATCTGAGTTATGGATATCCTCTGAAATCTTGGAAGGCACCTTCAAAAGAAATACATTAATATAGTCACTAGCACATGTATTACAAAAATAGATAATGCAATTTTGCAAATTGAATATACTGAAAATTTCATTCAAATTACTATATTCTGAGTGAAGATATTAGCCTTTGAAGGTTTAACAATATGTGGCCACTGATTGTAACCACTGTACTGGTTGTTTGAGGCTTAGCCTCGCTTCTCCATTTAGAAATTTAATCATTAAATGGCTGAACCGTTCTAATCTACTTAAAATCAGACCAATCCAATGGCATTGAGACTTGATCATGGTCTTGTCATGTTAATAAGTGTCTAATTAATAGTTCATATAACATTTAAAGCCTAAAGAAAGACCTGTAATAGGTAGATTTTAGCTCTTACATTGTTAATAAAGGTTGTAAAATTGTGTATTGTAATCCAAGTGCTTGAGACTATGTAGTACTAGTACAGTATATATTATTAAAGTCAAATCTTAAGCTGATTTAAAATTACATGTATGTTTAAGCAGATCTATAATTACATGTATCTTAATAAAAACCTTTGCTAACACATAATTTCTTTTTATCTGGATGACACTCTTGACATCTTTTACAGACATATTATTGGTCCACATATTGTAAAGGCAATCGCCGAAATCCTTCACAAAAAAAGTGATACCAAGTATTTTTATCACATATCAAATTTGCATCACATGCAATATGGCGGCCTTTTACTCTTGAAAACTGAGGCGACTTAGTATCTTTGCAATAGTTTGCACATCCCAAAGTCCATTCGTTAGGTACATGCGTGGTGCTATGATTTAATGAAGTGCTGTCGGATGAATCACTGTCAGAAACAGAATTATCAGACGTGATTTCTATAACGTTATTAACTATAGTCGGTTCAACAACAGTGTTAGAATCTGCTATAATAGTGGCATCATTGTACAGTTTCAAACCCTTTTTTACTCTCTCGGTTAACAATTCGGGCACTACACAGTCAGTAAATAATAACTTTAATGAAGGTAACATCTCATTATTCCAATAAAAAGGTTCAAAAGGTACATTAACAACAATATAGTTCACTTTTGACCATATCAAAAGTTCTGCATTTATATGCTCTTTAAGTAAGGCTGGCCATTAATTATATTGATGTAATCTAATTTCCCATTCTTCATGCAAGCATTGATATCGTCGTTACGAAAACTGTATGGACACTTAACTTCGACAAGTTTTCTGCCATGACATGAACAAGTTATTGTGCAATCAGGACTAACCCGTATATATGGGAATTGTGGATGAACTAGCAATCCTGGACGAAAAAATTCAACATCTTTATGAGTTTTTTTAAAATCATGTACATATGCCTGAATAGCTATATTTTCATTTTTCAAACCCCAAGCTAAAGCCGGAACTCTTGAGAGTGTTGAATCATAATTATATTGCATGACATCAGTAATAATATGCTCTGGAGAAGACTTTAAATGTATAAAATGACATAATTTTTGTAACTTTACTACCAGTTATACAACCCTTACGTTGATCAAACCATTCCAAACTTGCAGATTGTTGACGTGTCAACAATTCAATATTTTCAATGTCTTTATTTGTATAAATAATTGAATCAATAAAACGTTTCTTTGCTAATGAAAAATCAACATCATATACTGACTTAAAAACAGGATGTGAAAATTTATAAAGTGGCAATGGATGTGTCAATACATTAATCTCATTTGTAAAAGGTATATCAAAATCAACACACTGATCAGGTAAAAAGGGAATTTCTTGAGGAATTGCACAAGGAGATGTTCTAAATCGGTCGATGTCAAGAATATTTACAATTGGTGGCATAGATGATGAAACATTACTATTTCTGACATCGGACATTAATTTTAAAATACGTTGATAGTTCTCTTCTTTCGATAGTTCTGGTGCAACACTGTTAGAATAATTACTATTTGAGGGATCAGACTTATCTTTTTTAATATTAGTATCTTTAGCACATTTAGGGTCGATGTGTGCACTTTTCGGTTCTAACCACTGACATAAAGTGTCTGTACAAGATTTCTCATCATCATTATTTAACTG